TGAAAAGTATTAAAATTTGAAGTTTGTTATAAATTAAACTGCTCGGTTGTTCGTGCTAGTCAGTGTATAAACAACTTAACATTCTTCTAATTTTAGATAAATTCCCGTTAAACCCAGAGAAATTGATCGTTTACTTAATGTTATGTTGATGACATATTAATAAGAGAATTCTTTTGCGTAGACAGTGTTTCAAATTTAATTGCACATTAATCATAATTACACTTACTAATTCATGGTAAATTTAGTCAATTACACGAATGAAAGTTTGGAATGCAATCAACAGAATCTTAGCCAAATTATGTAAGAACAGAGCATCTGGTCCTGTCATGTTCATATTTAAAACACATAAGTAATTAAAAAACTTCTAAACGAATATATTCGGGAAAATAAAAATGGGAGCGTATTAAAAAACGCTCGGACCCGGTATTTCTAGTTATCTTATTTTAAACACAATACTCTGTATATTATTCAAATTCGTCAAAGCATGCTGGTCATACTTGATGTACAAGCTAGCCACACGGGTTTTACAGTCTCTTTTCTAAATAAGTTTTATTGATACGCTTTGTTCCGAGTCTGCGACGCGTTTGCATGTAAAAAATACATACAGACTATGGAAGATGATTTTATTACATGAACTTTGGAAGCGAAATTATCCGAAATTCTTCTCAAATGCGCTAGAAAAATTGATAACGGTTCACTTTTTAACGTACGGTTTTTTGGGCCTTGTTGCAACTCTTGCTGGAACAATGTGATGCTGAATTCATATACGCGCGTATATGGCATTTACGATTGTTTTAAACACGCAGTAGGTCTAGTTTTTTTGTTCTTCAGGTCCTGTAATTTAGTTTTAAATAAAATAAAGTAACGTCTGCCGAGAATAAAGCGTGTATCAAAAGATGCTTTGATGAATTCAAAACAACCAACCCGACTAATGAAAATATTTTCGAAAAACTATCGCGCATTTTTGAGGTAATTTGTTTTTCTAATATTTGACAATGATTTAAGTTATGTTTTATTGTAGGTAGACTGAAACTCGATAATCGAGATTTTGAAACAAGATTTTGAGCACTTACTTTTGCAGTAGAAGATCTAAAAGCGGTACATTTCTATATCATGTATTTCGGAAAGACCTTCAATCTCTCATTTGGCAAAACAATTTAAAAAAATGTGTATTTTTTACTTTATTCACCTGTTGGAATTTGAGGGAGGACGTATTACTTTATAATAATAATAATATTTATTTCCAACAGACAAAGTCTTATACAGAAAATATCCGGTTACATGTAGGTATAGTTTTGAGTCCTGCATTACATATTATGTGTTGTCATAATCATTGAAATATATCTATATTGTGTTGCAATCTATGATAACTGCGAAACATTTTAACTACGGGGGAGTTTTTATAGTGTTCTGTTCCAGGTTTAGGTATACAAAATCCTAAAGTCCAGGGGTTATAGATATCGTTTAGTTAATGGTCGAACAATTATGTGCGAAGAGAAACAGGTAGCAAATTTCTTGAATATCAAAATTCTAGTGAAAACATAATTTTTGTACCGTAAAATGGCGCTATTCGGTCGCGTCTCTTGCATCTATACTAACCGAAAATACGACGGGACCCCCGCCCGGGTATTATAGTGACTACAGTGAACAGAATATCGGTAAATCCGCAAAACCTCATATGAGATACAACTGCAATTTTACAGGGCACATTAAAAACGATTAAACAACGCGACGTGTGACCTTTTTTTAATCTACTGTACAAATCACAGCTTTTCTTTAAAAAAATACGTGATTACGTCAGAAAATTGTTTTCAACAATATTTATTTTTTCAACCCTATGTCCCATTTTTTTGTGAGCAATTTGTATATACGAGGTTTTATTCAGTAATTATAATTAAAGTAACACAAAATTTTATTTCTTATAGTTACACAAGAAGTATAATAATAAACAAACCAAAGTAGCATAATTTGCAGAAATACTAATCAAAAAGACCAAAAAAGTGCATCTAACTGTTGTTTGAGGCCTTGTAGGTAGGTGTTCAAACTTGTCTTTCTTAATTTTTTCTGCTTCTGTATATTGATTACTGATTTTAAACTCAGTCGCCAAATTAGGCCTTTTATTGTTTTCGAGCTTTCTTTCTATTAAACTCAGCACTGTCTACTTCCATCTGAGTGTGCTCTTTTTACAAAAAGTTTTGCGTTATAGTGATTTGTCTCTTAAAAATTCAAATTCAAGGGACATTGGCATAAACAAATCGCAATTTCTGCTATTTAGTTATATGGACGCCAAAACAATTAATAATTAAAGATTGCACAAAGAAGAAAGTTGGGAAGAAAAAGCATTATGTATTATATTTAATAGAATCATTGTATTATTCCTTAAATCTAATATCTTATTAATCTGAAATAAAGTTTAAATACAAATTATCGCTAAGTTGAATAATATGAAACATAAAATCTAAATACCTATTTCTAAAATCTACAAGGGTCACATAAAATGACTAATAAAGAGCTTAATAAAAAATACGATAAACTTATTCTAAATACATTTCCCCAACCTCTTTAATTAAGGGAAACTGTAAATTTGTTAATGCTGCACATAATTGAAAAATAATGGACGCATGTGGAATAAGTGTTTGGGGAATCATATTTAGTATTCTAAAGCACTATATTCCACTAATGGCTCTTTCGACATGAATCCCAGCTCGTGCTATTATAGTTCGTGTCATAATCACCTGTTCTGGTGTAAACTGTGCCGAACTTAAAAATGGTGGTGTGTGAATATGCACTCCTTGTGGTAAAAGATCTCCAATTAAAACCCTTTTATCTGCGAGAATCAGATCTCCAGGTTGAAATACCTTCAATACTCCACTATCTTGCACAATTTTTTTGTCCGATATGGATTCAGGATACAGCTTACTTGCATATGTTAAGGACTCCGTTGGGTGCTACACCTATTAATCTTTTCAACGTATTTCGATGTTTATAGCTGCTGTATGTTGCCCTCTGCTTCTCCATATTTTGTGGATGAATACATGCCATCTCTGTGCAGTCCAAAATCATCCTGCAGTTAGTGAAGGAGTTAAAGGAGCTAAGCAAACCGAATTTATTTTTTGAGGTTGTTGGAACATCTGCCATGAAGTGTTTAAATAGCACCTCGTGCAGTGCAAACATCCACGTTTTTACAATGTTGGAAATAGTCCCCTTTGTAACTCCAAATCGAACACTGAGGTCGTCCAGCAGTAAATTTAACCGCAACTTCATATACGTAATTAACAATTGATCAATTTTGGGTATTGTTACTACATTCCACTTATCATAATAATTTGATTCGTGATTTTCCATTAAAGAATATAGAGCCAAATAAATATCTTTGGTTGGGATTCCGGTATATACACAGAAATTAAATGATCTGTATTTGCAATTGGTGCAAAGGATAATTTGTCGTCACACTTCTCTAGTGCTTCTTTTAGCTCTTTGTTTTCTTTTTCTAGAAAATAAACTTGAGCTTCCAGCATAGCTGAGAATTCTGGCGCAACTGTAGGAGCAGATGTTAAGCTTTCTTCAATCACTTCTTCTGCAGGTTCTTCAGTTGGTGCTCTTCTAATGGTACAGGATGAGGTAGCCATGATTTATACAAATTATACGTTTGCTCATACCGCTTTTTACTCTTTTCGGGAAGTAACTCCATTATTGCCCCTTCGGCAATTTATAAGAATAAGTGAAGTGTATTTTCCCAGCAAAATGTAAGTATTTTAAGCTTAATAAATTTAGGTGTGTAATATCCAGATGGACTTCAATATAATATATAATATTATGCAACAATAGATGATTGTAGAGCATATGTAACGAAAAAAACTAAATTTTTTAAAATCCAAGTTTTACAAAATTCGAGATGAACTTCGTCTTTGCTTATGGGGCACATGTGACCACTTTAGCATGGGGCAGATGTGGACTGTCCACATGTGCCCCATAGTATCTTATTCGCATCAATTGTATACTTAATACTTTTTTCTCCAACCACCTGAATAAGACGCTATTTTGTGACAGTGTTCGGTACGTAAAGTTGGCGTTTTCAGGATTAATCGCTTTCACTATGGCAACTGTACAAAAAGTGGATACTTTTGGTCCTAGTACCAAAAAGAAATTGACCTTGAAAGTTGGCCAATTAAAAAATTACAATCACGGAGATATGTCACATTGACATCGTTTTACATTGCAGGTTGTAAGATATTTCTATACATACATATCAAATATTTTTGCACATTCAATGCAAATAATGATGTTACCTCTCTACGTATGTACATGTATTGAAAATGATTTACGCTCGCTATTTTTATTTAAACCATGTGTAACGTCATTTACATATTCGATGAACGTAATTTTAATACGTATACAACCCGCCGTCGCGCGTAACGCCATCTACTTCAGACCCATTGCACTATTATCTGTCATTTTGAATTCAAAATTTGAAAAAGTTAATTGCAATTAATTTTAATTAAAAAACTGTATGGTAAGTTTTTTTTATTTCAATACAAAATATAACCATGTTAATTTTGTATGCCTACAATAGAAATGACTGAAACTGATAGCGACATGGATTATTGCACTCCGCTAGAAATTATAGAAACGGCAGAACATGCTACTTTAGATTTGCTCCCTACAAAGTCGCGAGAGGTGAGAAGTAAGAACGAATAGGTTATAAGTTATCCTAAAAACTAGAGTGGCATGACACCGACACGTGAGGACAAGAAAGCAGAAGTTCTCAAACTAGTAGTGAAATTGTGAACTGAATCTAAACTCGAATATAATTTAAAGTAAAGAGGGTTGGAGAAAAAATTTTATGTTTTATTCGTACAAAAAATGCGTTTTCGGGACTCGGAAGGTTGCTGGACTCCGCTAACGCGTCGTCCAGCAACTATCTTTCTCGTCCCGAAAACTGACATTTTTTGTACTAATGAAACAAATAACTATTTTATTTGATGTTTTTAGTTGTGACCATGGTTAGAAAGTATAAAACCAAAACGGATCGTTGCCTGATCGACGAAAAGGTAGTCAAAAAGGCAGTTGAGGATGTAGTAAAGCATAATATGTCAATCAGGTCTTCTGCAGCAAAACATAATTTGAAAAAGTCGATGCTATCTAAACGGGTGAAAATTGGAAGAGATTACATTCAGGATTCCGATGAAGGTAGTGGTGATGTTCGTGATAATGGAAGGAAATATGCAACGCGGCAAATCTTTACCATAGTCGAAGAAAAAATGCTGTGTAAATATGTAATGAAATGTTCAGATATTCAATATGGATTAACGTACATTCAGGTGCGTAAACTTGCTTTCCAATATGCAGTAAAATTAGAAAAAACAATGCCCGAGTCGCGCTTTAATAAGCACAACGTCGGCACGTTTTTTAAGAACTATTTAACAGTGATCAACAAATATCATTTTCGTCCAGAAAGGATTCTAAACCTCGATGAAACTGGGATAACCACCGTCTTGCAGGCACCAAAAGTCATTGCTACCAAAGGTAAGAAGCAGGTTGGTCAAATAGTGTCGGCGGAAAGAGGGCAACTTGTTACATTTGTCGGCATAATATCAACTATTGGAAATACAGTCCCCCCGGCTTTTATATTCCCAAGAGTCCACTACAAGGATCATTTCGTTGCTGGTGGTCCTATAGGCTGTTTGGGAATGGCAACCAAGTCAGGATAGATGACGGCTGTACTATTTATTGAATTGTTGAAGCATATCAAGACACACACTTTATGCAGTAAGGAAAATCGCATGTGTCTATAGACGCTATACTATTTGCTCGAGAGAATGGTATGGTGTTATTGTCCTTCCCCCCCTCACTGCTCCCACCGTCTTCAACCATTGGACGTAGGAGTATTCGGACCCTTTAAAGCTAAACTTCGTGTTGCCTTCAACGACTTCATGGCAATGAACCCTGCAAAAACTATATCAATCTATGATATACCTGCTCTGGTTAACAAAGTATTTACACATGCTTTTTCTCCCCAAAATATCCTAAACTCATTTAAAAAACCAGGAATTTGGCCCATTAATGAACTTGCCTTCTCAGAAGACGATTTTGCTAGTTCATATGTTACTGATAGGCCAATAATCGCAAACAAAGAGCAAGAAGATACCGAAGAACCTAATCAACCTAGTGCGTCTACAGTAGCGTCTACATCAGCAGAATTTATAGATATAGATAATTCTTTGCCCTCTACGAGTTCTATTATTTCTCCCGAATCTGTTAGACCTTTTCCGAAAGCACCACCACGGCTCAATACATTTGGTAATTCAAGAAGAGGAAAGTCTAGAATATATACAGACAGTGCCGAGAAAGACAGAGTTTTAGAAAAAGCCATGGAGAAAAGTCGAAAAATAAATATCAAGAAACGAAGGCCAACTGTGAAGAGGTCATTAACAGATCAGTGTATAATGAAACATAAGTCTGAAGAATCGACATCTGATTCTAGTTTTTCAGTGCAAGACTCAGTTCAGATGAACGAATGACTGATGATGATGTTGTGACACCAGAAAATGATGGAATTTTAAAAACCAACGATTTTGTGTTGGTGGAATTTTGCACTAAAAAAACGAAGGTTTATTTTGTTGGAGTTATAGAGACAGTGGATAATGATGAATTTGAAATAAACTTTCTTAAGCGAAAAGAAGACACTTGGAAATTTTATTATCCCAAGATACCAGACAAATCCTCAGTCGCAAGGTCTGATGTAGTGTTAAAGTTACCTGCTCCTTCTTATATTGGGGGCACCATAAGAACGGCAGTGTCCTTAACATTTTCTATTGACATCTCAAAATATAATGTAAAATGATGTTTTTGTATTTTTAAGTTTTTTTACACATGTATACTAAAATAAAACCTTTTGAAACTTAATGTAACGAGTCTAATAGTATCACGTCTAATTTAAAATACATGTCCACATCTACCCCAATATATGTCCACATGTACCCCAGCATGGGGCACATGTGGACAAATCACAAAAAACTTTCAAAATTTATTTGTGAGCTTATGTTTGGTTATAATGGTGTTATCTACGGCGCAATTATCGACGTAATAGTGTTAAAAAAAAGGAAAAAAAAAGAAAATTAAAAAAAACTAAAAGTTGTGTTAAATATGGCCAATTAAAAAAAAGTGTCCACATGTGCCCCACTCTCCCCTATATGTAATCATAGGTGCATAAAATTTGCATTATTAAATAAATGATACTAATAGAATAACTGGCACAACTTATACCTATTAATAATTTGAAAACAAGAAACGATTCTGAAAACTACAATTTAAAAAAAATGACAATTTTCTCTATTTAGGCATTTAGGTAGATATGATCTTCTTTTTGGCAACACTCCTCCGTTTCTCATTTCTTCCGCACGTATTACACCGACTATCGTACATCGTGTAACCATCCATGACAATCAATGCACTGGATCCAGTCAGCATTGTTCTTAGTAACCAAATAATTTTCCAGGCATTCTATGCAATCTACATTGTCATCTGTGTTTTGGTTGGCATGTTTGGTGGCTGTTGATACTGTTCGTTTTGAATGATCCGCTTCTTCTTTTTCGCCTTTTTTCGGTTTTGTCTTTTTTGTACATTTTGTCTTTTTTGTTCCTTCTTTGCAATTGTCTTTTTGTTCCCCATTTTTGCAATTTTTCTTTTTGTTCAGAAATTCTTCTGACGTTAACACTTCAGCCGATTGTTTCCTTTTATTAAATTTGCGTTGAGGAATAGATGGAATTGGTGCAATTTGATCCAGAAACTTTAATGGAGTTATAATTTCATCGGTATTAAGTTCAGAAATGGGAGATTGATTTTCTTTATTACGTTCGGCAACAAGTGATTGTATTTCGACAACTTGAGTGGCAGGTTTCATGCGCGCCCACAGAGGGTAGCGGAGGTAGCGGTCGCTACCTCATAAGTGTCTCGTTTTTTTCACGTAATTAGGGATATTTGTTATTCAGAATATTCAATCGACAATCGTCCAATAATACATTTATTATCGTAAAAAACAGATCACATTGAGTAACGAATAAAATATATGGCACCTACTTAACCTATTTACTATTTACTAAAAAGAAACTGTAACCTTCGGGGCTTTTTCCCAAACTCGTTGATGGTATCATCGATGAAATTTTTATTCGGCAGTATTCTTTTGCGGTGTACGCTTAACATACATAATCCCGACAAACGCTCATCTCCCATAGTAGATCTGTTCCATGTTTTCACTCGTCGTAGCGTACTAAATGAACGCTCAATAGAACAGGTAGTAGCTGGTAGAGTACACGCTATTTTAAAAGCCAAAGCTACAGAAGGATAAAATTGCTCTGCTTCAGAAATTAAATCGATGTACTCGAAATTCTGCGAAGGCAGATCTTTAATAGACCATACATCATACCAAGTTTTTGCTTCACTTTCGAAATTTGGCAAAAAAACACCATAAACGCTGGTAATATTATTTATAACGTCGAGAAATTTCGTTTTTTCCATTTTTTTCAAGAATTTCGGGTGTAGTAGCATCAGGGAAAATGCTGTCGAATGTGCTTCTCCAAAACGATCAGATAGAGATGAAATAATTGAATCCAAATACGGTATGAAGATAGACCTTCTAAAATATTCCTCTTCGTTTTCAGCTGGCTGATTTGAACGTCCAGTTAACCTTCCAATCACACGCGGACGTCTCATTTCGAGTCCCAACTTTTCACAAAACTCTTGAACTTTTGCGAAAATTAGACGAAATTCTTCTGAAGCATTTTCGCGATGAGAAGCTACTACAATTATCAAATTTTCAATATGCTCGTTAACGGACATGATGTTCATGTTGACACTCTGCAGTTCTTGGCATACGGGTTCAAGCATTGATGAATAAGTTGCCATAACAGCCAGAGCTATTAAATATCCTGGAGTTGTAACTGTTGTATACAATTGGTAAGCTTTGGTTCGCGTAGTTGAATTTCCACCGTCTAATGAAAGTTCTTCCAAAGCTTTTACAATACCTTCAAAATTTTCAAAAAATATGCGGATGCTTCGGTATTTTGAAGACCAACGAGTTTCACAAAACAGCGGAATATTTGGAATCATGTGTCTTCGTAATGTAGATTCGCGAAAGAAATTAATAACTTCTTTAGTCGTACCAGCAGCATTTCTTATTTCAGGGAGAGTATTTTGATCATTAATAACAAGGTTTAGTATATGGCTGGCACAATGAAAATACATAGCTTTAGGGTATTGATCCCTAATCAGTTTTTGCACGCCACCAACATGCCCAGCCATTGTACTGCAGCCGTCGTACCCTTGGCCCACAAGTTGGTCTAAATTTAAGCCACTGTCGACCAACAAGATAGTTGCAGAAATGGTTTTAGCATCGAGTTTTTGAAGCGGAACGTATCCTAAAAATTCTTCACAAATAACATACGTCTGTTCATCTGCATCTTGACGTAGGTACCGCACCCCAATCGACAATTGTTCCGTTCCACTAATATCGGCTGTTTCGTCGGCAAGCACAGAGAAAAAAGACGCTTTTTTTACTTCTTGAATAATTTCGGCTTTTATCACATTGGAACAACTCTCAACTAGTTCGTTTTGAGACCTGTGTGATATGTATAACGCATTCTTCGCACTGAATTCCAAGTGATTTTGCAAAATTTCATCGCCAGCATCCAAACGAAATTCTAGAAGATCACGAAAAACCGATCCTTCCTCCGCATGTCCACGAATAGGTAAGTCGTGAAGAGCACAAAACAATAGTGAAGATATAATTGGTTTAAGTTTCGTTCTATTTTCTTCAATAATTTTGCGATAATTTGCATTTGCAAGCTGTTGAACGCTGAACTTTTTATTTTCCATACTTTTTTCGAAGTCATTGGCAGCTCTCATTGCGGCAATATGCCATCCTTGTTCCACGTGCTTTTTGGCAACGTCGATAAATTTTGTATATGTAGTACAGGGTTGATGAACGAATCTACCGTCTGAGCGACCACGGTTTACAACACTCGGAGTAGTAAATAAGAAACAAAATCTACAAAAAGGTCCTTTCGCAGCAGCTGAATAAGTTACCCAAGGATATAATTGAATCCATTTGAATAGAAACGACCTTTTGCCTTCTGGTACATCTTTTTTGAAGTCGTATGTTTCGCCTGGATTCCAAGCTTTCTTCAACAATTTGATACGGAGTTCGTCATCGATATGTGTATTCAAGTACAAACCAATATCTAGTTTACTAAAATTGGATTCAGACGAATTTGAAGCTTCATTTTTTCCAACTAAAGACATTTTATTGACTAAAGGTGAAGGTACTTCATTGTAAACGGAGTCGTGGTCAATAACAGGATGAGTATCATTTGAACAACTTGAAATACACATTTCCGTAGGATTTTCGTGGCTGCCGGGTTTTGGATGATGTAAAGGAGTTTGATTAATGTAATCAAGTTTTGGTTCGTTAGTCACAGTCGTAGAAAGATTTGAATCATTCTCATTCGAAGAAGAAGTGCCATCGTCGAGTTTCGGTTTTTTGGAAAAAAAACGCCTTATATCGTTCATCATTTCGATTAGAACCAATAAAAGGACGTATGACGTGCTGTATCGTTGTGTGCATATATTCTAGAGCTAGAGGTACCTATTTAACGAATAATAAGGTAGAAAATTTGAAGATAGTTCTAAATATAAGTACCTTTTTAATCAATAT